TCAGCGTTTGAGCATCGGCGGAAGGTAAACCGAGTCTGCAGCAGACTTTCTCGCGACCTTGCCACAGATCATGCTTGGCCTTCCCCCAGGGTCATCGGTTTCTCGGATAGGCAAATAGTAGCTTTTTCGCCTTCCTTTCTGAAAGCATTCACAAGACGTGCCCAAACCGTCGCTTCCTTTACTTCTCAATTTGAAAAAGCAGCGGCTACACCAATGCTCTCCCTGGTATATGTACTCCGGACCTGTCCTGTTGAATTGTTTTTTGCTTATATTAATTGTTTACTTTGTCTGTACAGTATTTTGTTACTGTTTAGATATAGCATTGGCTGAATCCTGTCGTTTGGGAGACGCAACAAAATTCGGTATGCAATTTTGTATTTTAAATGTAAGAATCATATCACTTTCTTGTATGCGGTTGTAAAGAGAATGTTTTTCGTGCACTGGCTGCTCTTGTTCAGAAATCTGCGGTAACCAAAGACGGTTTAGCGCGGTATTGCTTATGCCTTGTCTTGTGGTCATACACATAGCTGATCATACATGAATCCAGGCAGGCATGTTCAACTGATGCATCGTGAATGCCGTTCTTTTGCTTTTTAAGGTTATTTCGTATGTATTGGATTTCCAGTTTAAAACTTTAAAAATTGAGTTTGCCGAATGTTAGGAAAATGAAATTAAACGACTTAAACCAGTCACAGGCCAGTTTAAGAGGCGAACTTTAACTAAGCAGTTAAATAGTTTCTCTTGTTTTGTTGCTGCATTCATTATTTCGGTCGAACAACGAGTTCTTCAATTCTCTGAATCATAGTTATATAACAGATTAATTATAGCCGCAGAGCATTTTTAATTCCAGCATAAAACAAGATGAAAATCCGGCGAATAATAACAGTGGTCTTGATGTTTCTTGCAGAGTCACTCCTTAGGCACATTTTATAATATAGATTGCGTTGTTTAACATCGTTTAGAGTAATACTTGACTCTTGTCAGGTTACCTTAGTAAAAGCAGGTCGAACATAGGTTGCTACGCCAAAGTTTAATTCAAGATTATAAATGGAAGGGAGCCGTGACTATGCGTTGCCGGTGTTTGCTATTAGTAGTCGACGTCCAGATCTATTTCATTAGCCATGATCATATCGGTGTTCAGGTATCTGTTTGTCTAAGTGAATAGGGCGTTTTCTTAAGCTGGAGGTGACTTGAAACGCTCACGCTTTGCGTGTTGTTTCTGTTATTTCATATTTTTGCCGTCATGCAGCATTGTACACTGTAGAGTTGTTTTTGTGTTCAGTTTCAATAACGATCAGATCTTTATTTTTTCTTTTGTTATTGCGCGCTAATCATTTCCCTTGATTCGGCGTTTTCCATTTTGTAAGTTCGCTCATATGCACCTTCTTTGCTCTTATTGAATGTTTCACCAATGTAAATTTCGCCACATTGGCAAAGAATGCGCTGAGCCCATTGGTTCTGCTGACCTTACTGTATTGCCTCTCAGCTTAAGTTAGAGACTTTGTAGATCTGAATACTGTTTTGATCGAAGAAGTGAGGCGGTCGTTCTTCATTTTTTGATTGAGTTACCTAGGGCAAGTATTACATTCAGCTACTTTTTCCTTTCTTCTGGTTCTCTCTTCCGCAACTTTCTGTAAACGTGTCCATTTGATGTTAAACGGTTTCTGAAGAGTATTTTGGGTAGCCGTCGTTTTTTAGAGTTCTTCGGGTGTAATGTAATTTTTATCGAATTCCGTTTTCATAAGACCTTTTTAGGTATGTGTTGATTCATATTAGCACAAAATTTAACCGTTAGTTAAAGATACATTGTAAGCATTGTGGCTATTATACTCCGTTTTGTACGCCTTAGAGAATTTGTTTTAAGAGTTCTACGGATTTGTGCGCTGTGTTTCATGTGGAACTATTGGGTTTATGAACAGCGGCCCGCGGCCAGTGCTGTCTTTATTGCAGGAATTTGTTGCGCACATACCACCGCAGGCGAAAAATGCCAAAGCAGGTACTTGAGAGCGATCTTTCGTTATGGCACTCGTGCGTATGTATACTGTTTAAGATACGATTGATGATCCTTTGTCTATGCCATCATTCGTTTCGCACAACTCCGTCAGTGACACTGTTAAACTAGACGATTTACAAATTACGTTACAGACAGACAGCCAGGACGAGATCGAAGCAGTCGCTTCAGAGCAGTCGAAATCAGTTGGTGTTCTACGAAGCGTTGATAAAGTAGTTGCGACTAATAAAGGCGAAGCTCCTGGTAACGAATGGACGCAGAGTTCATTTGAAAGATTATCACAGGGCAGTTCTGTATATTTTCAATGTGTTACAGATATTTCACCTGTCCAGGATGTGTTTGTCGGTGCGGAAGAGACTTTTGTAGGTGCGACTTCTGATCTTGATGTTTCCACCACTTCACCGAACGATATGATTGCCGAAGTTGATGCTACTACTGCTGGGCAGGCCATTAACGTCAGCCAGATAGCGCCAGAATCAACTACAGCAGGAAGCAATGAGGTTGCCGTTAAAACTGAAGACGAAGAGACACCGGGTGAGCAGCGTGACCATGACTACGTAGCCGATAATTTTCATGCTGAAGGAATTGGTTCCGAAACTGACGCCGATGATTCAGGGACAGAATCCTGCAAGTCGCCTGATTCGCATGCTTGTTCTCGTCCTGTTCATAATGGTACTGTTGCTGAAGCACAAAAGTCAGCAAGAACGAACTCTGAGCCAGAATGGGAGGCAGGGTTTGACCCCCAACTGGAAAAGCAGTTAAAATCCTTGCGCTCGTTCCACCTTAATCTCGATTCCAACATTTCTCAAAAACCTACTTTGCCTATCGTGATTCTGGAAAGAGTAGACGATTCCGCGATTTCTGGTGGTGATGTCTCTGCAGTGAAACCGCAGAGAAACAAAAGCGCGGACGATTATGACGAAGACTGTACTACAGTTGTTTCAGAAGAAGCAGATGAAACCACTGATATTGCCGAATATGAGCCATGCGACAGCGCAGCTGACCATACATCAGCGACGGAAAAGGCATTGATTTGCCAGTTGTTTGCGCGTTGTTTTAATTTATATTTCAGGGTTGTGAATGTTTTGACGAAGTGACTGAGCGAGAAAAGACACTAGGTATAATTGGAAGTCCTGACGAAAATATACCTGACCTGGAATCGGAAACTGCTCCAAAAAGTGACGATCCTAAAGGCAAGTAATGTAATCTGTTTGCTCATTAAGTTGCATAATTACTTCATGCACTTTCTAATCGGCATAAACGAGATATAATAAGAATGGTTAGTTTTGACCATAGTAGTTTATACAGTATAACCGCACTGAACTTGAGCTCTATGGAAATAGCGAGATAGATTCACTGCGATTTCTGTTACTGACGGCCGGTGGCTCTGAACATTACTATTGCACTGCTTTACTTTTGCTTTATTGATCAGTTCCATTGAAGCAAAATTTAACTCTTGTGGTTGTTAAACCATTATGATATCATAAACTCAGATTGATCTCTGTTTTTTACCATTCAGTTACTGACTACTGTTGTTTTCTTTTTTCCTACAGGATTTACAATATGTCTGAGCAGTATTTGTTTCATTGTGGCCGGTAATTTCATTAAGCACCACGTAATGATTTCCATAGCTTTAGAGGGTTGTCAAGCAACTGAAATGCCAGTGCGTCAAACAGCATGCCTTGGTGTTCAGCAAGACGTGTTCTTTTGAAAAACTTTTGATGCTTTCTAGATCATGTGGTGCGCTCTGTTAGAGGCTTAAGCCACAGATTGCTTCATTAGCCCCATTTCAAAGACAAAACACCCATTTTGTTTCTCCTCAAAAAGTTGGCCATCTGAAATGGCGGCTGCTTTTCACTCATCATGTCCATGTCCCTACCGATATTCTGCGATTCACAGATTTAACAGATAAATCATGCCGTAAATGACTGGAGGTAGATACATGTTATTGATTTGTTGATAGTTATTCTGATTCCATGGTTAGCAGATAATGACGGGTGTCACGTCGATCGCAGAGTCGGTTCGGTGTATCATTCTCGTTCTGCTAAAGATGGTATCAGAAATCGTATCCGTTTGTGTTGAAGAGTTTTTGCCACGATTATCGCAAACTGTAACTTATGGCACTTAAATGTCGTTTTCCACGCTTCTAAAAAAATTGCGTTAACCTCAGTTTCAGGGCTATCCTAGAGTTAAACGTTTGCGCGGCTATCAGTTAATACTATGATGGTCTATGTGAGTAATCAGATCAGAGGTCATCCTTATCAAATCCTGAAAAATGCAGTGTGTGATACAGGTCCTTTTACAAACTTCAGTTGTACGCCATCTTATGACATTTTATGGGTAGCGCTCTCGTTGCACTACGTGAGTACGTGATTCCTTTGCCTGTCGTCTCGTTTGGCGCAGTCGTACACAGGCTCGTTTTGTATAGGCAATGATCCTTGCTGCGTCGTGTGGATCTTTCTGAAAGTAACGAGGGGTTTCTTTCAGCAAATGGTTGTTTGGGCAAATGTTGCGAGCTGTAATCTTCGCGAAGTTTGTTCATCGGTTTCCTTTACGTAAAGCTGCGACTTGGGTCACTAAAGGCATTCCTGTGTAGATCAGAATGACTTGAAGTGTCATCTTTATCAACCAGTTTTTGAGGGAAAGCGATGACTGTTGTTTCTGATTGGCCGCTGGTGGTAGAAGTTTTCCACCGTCATCAGGCCAGAAATTTGAATGCATCCTAGTGCTGTTTAGACTACCACCATTAAATGCCCGCGATATGCTGTTCGTTTAAACGGAATTCAGTGAAGTTGTTAGCAGCAAGCTTCGTTTTGGTTTAAATGCTACGCTGAACATTTATCATCTTAGTTGAAATGACCTGATCCCTCTGGTTCGCTTATAATGCGTGTGGCAAGGAAAGTCAGTAATAAGCCTATCATCCAGAGAAAGTTTTTACGTGAATAGCTTTCATTATATCGCGTCTTCCCGTCGGAATCCCTTTTCGATACTGAACTTGTTTGTGCTTTCGTGAATCTTCACTCTAGCAGTTGTACTGTTGTAAAGCATGGCGATGAAGTTTTAGTATCTTTTCTCGATTTGCTGGAATCTCAAAAATCTAGTGCAGAACAGATGTAGATTGAATCGAAAGCCTTCTCGAAATCAACAACCTCAGACAGTGATGACGATATTTGTTGTTTGTCTGAATTATTGTATCATCCGACGATGATCCATCGTACTGAATCCACTTCTGAATCCTACTTGCTTCTTTGGATGTGCAGCGTCCTGTTATTCTTGAAGCCTGTTTTTCAGTATCTTCGTGAAGATTTTGTAAATGATTGGCATCAACCTTATCTGTTATCTGATATTTTATTAACATATTTTCACTATTCACTTGTTTTAGCCTCAAAAGCGAAGCCATCGAATGTACCTGACCTAAAAAGAAAACGCTGTGGAAAGTACAATTTGCGCAGCATGGTGCCTACGAAACCGAAAGGAAAGAATAAGTACGTTATTTTGAATAAGCGATTATTTGTTTGTCAATTAGCACTGTTCTTAATACGTGTCAGATCTGTGATACACCTTTTCAGGGATTGTAAAATATCAAGGCACACATTTACGTCAGATTATCAGAGTAAGACTACGAAAGAATAGTTGATAATTTAAATTTGTTCGGATGTTCGACATAGGCTGAAAAATCTACCATCGTTATTATGCGCTCAGTGATTTAGGGCCAATGAAATCTGGTCTAGTAATCAAATACATGAAATACAGAAAATGAACGGTTAGCTCATCAACTATGCGAAAAGCGACGCATGTTTTTTTCAGTATTTAATCCGTTAGGTCCGTGTGGGTTAGGTTTTGTTTCCTAGTATATTTTTGGCATCAGGTGATTACACGTAGATTTTGCCGTGCACCTCCTCTGTGCGATGAAAGGTTGGCAAACCGGTTGACTCAGTATTTCAAATTAACCACAAAAGTTTACATTTTGCATGAAAAAGTTGCGTATCGCCTGATGGAACCCAACAGTGGAAGTACTTCGTAGAAGCCAGTTTCAGGTCCTATTAGCCTCGAATTTTGGACTCAACAATAAACAGCGTTCATTGATTGCGATCGAAGAACTACGAAGGGCTTGAAGTTGTATCTCACAACCATTGTTTGAGTACAGTCGATGAAATCTCTTGAAGTCTTTATCCAGCGCATGTTTTTGTATGCAGGAATCTTCTCTTTAACCTTTGTTATGCAGTTTTTGGTAGAGTTGCCGTCTTTTCTTTAAGCTTCCGTGGCCTAATCTGCGGATGTGATAGTAAATCCTGAATAAATGCAGCCGTTCTCGTCGCCATTAGTATTGAAAATATTTCCCTCTGAATATCCGTGAAACTTCGACAATTTGAGTATTTCATTGAGTATATAGCGTTAACATAGTATTTTCTGTGACAGTCAGAGCCACAAGAATATAATATCGGTGCTCGAATCAGGCGCTAACGTGCTGCTCTGAGAATCAAGCAAACAGATCAGAACCAATACCGACTATCAGGAACGCTAGGCATCACCGATGAGTAGTATACCACGATATTTCATTTCATATGTCTC